GAGCAGCAGAAACTACCTGGCAGCACAGAGGAATGGTAGACACCCACACCATTATAGAGGAGCAGTGGAGACCCCTGGATGTGGTGGCCAGAGAAGCGCATTTCAGCATCCCACCATAGCAGCGTGTCTACATGAGTCACTTCCCACTAGGTGCATCTACATGAGACACTTTACTGCACAGCAGACTAATTTGTTGTGCAGTAAAGCGTCACTGTCTACATGTGTGCAGCAATTTGGGTGCAGTAGACTAATTTACTGCACTGCTGGATAGTCCCGTCAGGTACAAGTGGTATCCAGCAGCATAGTAAGCTATTGTACTTAAATGCACATTTAGATGGTGACATCAGGATTTATTTAGTCCAGCTCATATTCAGTCACATTAACTGCTTGTGTAGATGTGCTCAGCATGGTGTAAGTGGTAGAGCCCCCACAGCAAAGCAGAAACCCCTGGCAGCAAGGGGCAGCAGTCCTTCCAGGGTAGGCTTCCCCAACCAGCACTTGCTGTTTTGGCTGGAGTAGCTGGTAGATCTCCCAGATGGTAGCGAGACTCCCTTCCCAACTGACTGAGTTAGGCCCCCTGGATTGGTCTGCTAGTTACTGTGACTGTGGTCTGCTTTAAGCTTTAGTTCAGGGTTAATAGTTCTAAGTTTTTCCTTAAGGTACATGCCTGCTTCCTTTTTTCCATTGTAATAGGCCAGGTGTTAATTTAACTTTTGCTTGGTGTGTGGGGTAGTTTATTTACATAGACCACTCTATTAAAATGTATTTTCCCAGGTTTCTTAGGAAGGGGCACAAGCTAAATTTAAAAGGTTAGTATAAAAGAACTAAATTTGAACCCAGCCCTTGTTAGTGCTGTCCAGTGCCTGGCAGAAGGGTCACATGTATTTACTGATGCTTAGCTCTTCTACAATTTTTTTCACCTTCATAGTGTTCTTAGAAACCTTAAACAAACATTATAGTTGACAAAGGTGTTAGCATGCACGAACTAAGTATTATTATACCCATTGTTTCTGATCAGAAATCAAAGTAAAGCATTGGAACTGTAGACTTGAAGCCTGTGTAAGAGCCAAGATTAAAATACACACATTCCTTGCTTCCAGTTTTGTACACCTCCTGGATGCTGGGCTGCTCCAGAGCTGCTGTACTTTATGGTAGCCTCACTTGACACTTCTGTACTGTCCTTTTTTATATTATGTTGTTTTAGTACTTACATAACAACATGCATTAATGACTGTTTTAATTCACAATGCTCCCTCCCTGGACACACAACCTAAACATCAACCAAACAAGGGGAGAAAAAAAAAAAAAAGATTACCTTTTGGTAGGAGAGAAGCAGATCACAGGAAAAAGTGTCCTCATTAGTCTCAGTTTCAAAGATGGGTTCATTTTCCAGCAGCATGCACAGCTCTAACCTATTATCAGGGCCAAGCATAAAGATTCCAAATAACACATGCCTAGAAAGCAGTCCCTGACAATCATAAAACATGACTGAGGTCTGTAATATAAGCAAGGCAATACAGCATATATATTATATAAGAGTTGTTTTCCTAGATTTTCATGATCAACAGCAAAAATTCTCCTCCTGTTGGTTAAGATTAATTAACTGGGGTTTAGGTTCCAGAAACCACCAAAATAACTTTTTCTAAAAACAGACTTATGCACTGCCATTATATGAATGTGATCTGAATGATAAAATTCTTGGTAGGAGCAGGCTATAGAGTCTGTCTAGTTCAGTGGTTCTCAACCTTTTCAAGAACAGGGCACCCCTCCACCACAAGAGAACCACTGCTAGTACTGCCTCAGCTTACTTCAGTGCTTATCAGAGAGGTTTCACTACCTCCAGATAAAAATTACCCTGCAACTGTTAAACAGCCAGCCTGGAAGGGCTATGGCATGTGGACATATTTCTCCTACATTAGGACTGTGATGAGCATAAAGCAGGCAGAAGCTGCCCTGTGCTGTGTAGCCCCTCCCGGTCTATGCTTCTCCTGGAAAGAGAGGTGGGCAGGTAGGACTGCCAGACTGCAAAAGCGATTGCAGCGCAGCTCCTGCCTACTTTAGGCTGATCACAGCTCTAATGCAGCAGGAATCCACGCAGTATACCTGGCTGCTACTTCAGCTGCAGCACCTGTGTTGTGGCACCCTAATTGAAAGGTTTAGTTTGTTCATAACTGCAATTACAAATGGAATCAAGGTTTTTCCTATTTGTTTATTGAGATTTTTTAAAACTAATTCCACTATATTGAAGATCTATATTGAAGCATGAGAACAATGTCTGCAAAATTCTTGTAACATTTTAAATAAATTGTGAAACAACGTTCAGTGATTTCAAGAGGACTGTGCTTCACTCCAGAGCTGCATAAGATGCACATACCTTTGCTATTTTGTTAAATTTCATTGCCTTTTCACCACAATGTCTATAAAAAACTTGACAAGCAGATGAATATTATGCTCAAACAACTAACCTACTGTGCAAATCATGTCTCACTATTTTCTTATACTCCCAACTTGTCTATAGCCATCTGTTGCCTCTGGACTTTGACTATGAACAATTTGGGGCAGGGACAATAATAAAACAGTCATTGCAACAGGGGATTAAACCTGAAACTTTCAGGTGTGTGCCCTGACCATGAGACTAAAAAATTACTGCCATTCCCAGCAGAGTCCTCAGCATGCAGCTAATGAGCATGCATAGGATTGAATATGGAGACAAAAGCTCAGACCCCTTCAGTCCATAGCCAGAAAACAGTAGAGACACTGTCATCGTTCCTGAGAGGCCCTACTGAATGATACAAAGTGAAGACTGGTAGGTTTCCAAGGAAAAGAAGGAACATTCAACTGTCCTCAGCCAAGAGAAGGGTCATTTCAATATGCCTTTGAGAGTGGGAGACAAATTTTGGAAGGCTGAGGAAAGGGAAAGAATCCTCAAGTTTCCGTGGCCTTCTATTATGGGGAGAAATTATGTCAAAAATCCCCATGGTTTCTTTCATTTTGGGCTCAGTAATCTAAACAATTTATAAAATGGGGAAAAAATCATCTCCCAGTAAAACAAAACTATTAGGAAAATTACCAAACATATTTAATCACTTTGAAAATAAAGAATAGGTATAATAATAATTTTTCCTCTGACCTCAAGGACTTCTTACACGTTGAGGAAAATGTGCATCTCCCACAGTACATCTAGGGATGTGACCAATTCACTAGCTTTGGTTATGTGGGAAAAAAATTAAACAGGAATTTATGCTTTAGGCAATAGATTTTCTGTAACCATAAATTTGCTAGGTTTAACATGTGTTCAGGCTGCCTTCGGTGCTTTCCTGTCAACAGAATATCCAGCAAGTATGTTTCTTGGTCTGGTTACTGATCAAGATATATCAAAAGCTTTAAGTATTACAAAAACAAACAAACAAACAAAAAACCTTTTTTCATTAAGATACAAGTGTTTGTATCAATAAATAGAATAATTTCTCATCATGGTATAAAAGTTAGCTACAGTTTCACTGGTTTGTTTTTATTTCTTCAGTATTTCCTCAAACACAACACATGGGATTTTGCCATTCATCCAAGGGTCTCAAAGGGATTTAAAGTTATTAAGCACCCCTATAACTGGGGAAATGTATGACGTTTTCACAGAAGGGGTACAGAGAAATGAAATAACTTGCTCACAGTCACACAGGAAATCAGTAGCAGAACCTGGAATACAACACAGGATCCTTGATTCCCAGTCAGCTGTACCCGCCATTAAAAATACCATGTTTTCTCACATAAAACATGCAGCATTTTCTAACAAAACAGCTGCTGGAAATTGAAGAGTGCATTATATGCAAGAAATATGGTGAGAGTAGTTTGTGCCACTAACTGAGCAAAAACAAACGTAAAGTCAGCATTGATCCACAGGGAGGAGAACAATAAATAGGCTCAGCTCTTTAGCTGCTGCTACAGAGTTACTTACTACAAGGAAAGATCTTTTTTTCTTCATTCTGCTTTTCAAAAAATAAGGTGCATATCTTACACATTGTATGTGAGAAAATATGGTATTTCCAATCAAGGATAAATAAGTGACTAAAATACAGGTCAGAATAACTTCAGAATAATGTTAAACTATTCATTCTCCATCACAATTGAACTCTAGCTTTGCCTTTCATATAATTGTTTTATGTTTGTAACAGAAGAATGAGGTAGCCCTCAGACATACCTGTCTTTGGCGCTCGCCTGTCTGCAAACAATGGTTCCTAAAGAAAAGACAAGCATTTCTATGCTGGTATCCAAGGGCATTTATACACATGCTCTGGGAGTGGGCAGGGGGCAATTTAATTAAGAGTGGCTCCAAGAGCATCTCGTGTATCAGTGTCCCTGTGCTTCAAAATGGCAGTGGGGGTGCTTTATCTAAAGCTCATCAAATGAGCTTTAGAAAAAGTGCCCCCACCACTATTTTGAAGCACAGGGACACTGATACATGAGAAGCAGGCGGTAATTGCCACGCTCCAGCAGACACGATTAATCGAGCAGATTAATCAAGTCTGCCCTGATGCGCTGGAATTACAGCATGTATAGGCACCCTAAACTCCTGATACATGCACTACAGACAGGCATGGACAATACTGAAGTTCAGTCATGGAGTATGTCTCCCCTTCATTGCTATTCTCAGAGTTTTACAATGATATACCATTTTCATCACGATTCAAAATCTTTTTAAGGGTAAGAATAAAATATAGGCTCTGCCCCTAGATGTTCATTTGCAACTCCCGAGGGAATCATTTCATAAACTGATGAAATGCAGCTGCCTTCAAGGTGTAAAAACTGTATGGATGATCACTGGGCCAAGATTAAATTCAGAGACTTTATCTTAACATCTATATGTAAATGGAACCCAGGTGCAAAAGTCTGATCCCTACTGATACCTTTCCAAAGCCTCTGTGTTCAGATCCAGGATACAGTTTGGGCCTACTTCTCAGCCAGATCTTTGTGTTTTCCATTTTAACAACATGGGCTGGGAAGAAAAAGTAGGAGGCATTTACCATGAGCTGAAAAAACAGAAACATTTGCTCATTGCCAGTGGTTCGTTGGCTGGTTTTGGCAGCCTGCAATTTGTTCAGCAGTGTTCTTAACTAAACCCAGTGGGGAGTCACTTAACAGGGCTTTGGGAAGTGAGAGAGAAATTTGGCTAGTCAAAAAAGGCACAGAAAAACACAATGAAGGAAATTGTTGGAACATTTCTGATAAGATTCCAAGCCTATTAAAACTGGCCCTGTTCAACAGAAAAATGAGCGTACATTATTTCACTTGGATTTCCAGAAGTCATGCTTCAGAGGTATAACAACATCACTCTTTGATGTTACAATATAACATCCTTCCTATCACATCATCAAGCCTAAGAAAGAGCAGACCAAACATGTTTCTCGCACTATTTTTTGGACTTAACAGGAAATGCTAGGATTCAAAGTTGGACTCTGTGATTGTTCATTTATTTTTTATTTATTTAAGAAGGAAGAAAACCCTTAAGTCATGTTTCTCATTTCAAAGGATACCCTGGCAAGGCACTGCAATAGTTTCTATATACTGTATCTGTTACAAAACATGTGTCATGAAGACACACCTAATTAAGATAACAAATTATTATCCCAATATCCACATGACACATTTGGCATGGTAGTCAGGAATGAAAAGTATGTGACCACTTAGAATGTGTCAGTATTTTCTTGTCAGAAAAAGCCTGTTATCTGAGGAAACTTCAAATTCTGTACACTGGGAAACAGCATAAAAGGAACAAAAGTTCCAAGTAGTTACTAGTAGAATGTAGATTTGGCAATGATGTTGTAGACAAAAGTCACTGAGAGCATGATTCTTCCTAGCTGAATGCACAGGATGGCTACACGGTTTACTAAGAAAATCAGAGAGTGCTGATTTTAGCTTATTGACAAAACTAAGTTGGAAAGCCTTCTCTTCATACCTGCATCTTTGTGCAGTATATGTCTGAATATTATTGCCTATATCTGACTTGAAAGAGAGCAGAGACGAATGACTGTTTGTGGCAAGGCACCGGGGTGCCTGCCACTTATGGAGTCAGGCAGGCCTGCAAAGCCTGTGGCAGGTGCAGCCAGGCCTAATCCGGGAGTCAGCAGACTCAGGGGCTGGCAGGTGAGGCTGATTAGGAGAGCTGCATGACTGCCCAGAGTCTGCCTGACTTGAGAAGAGCTGGGCTGGGTCAGGGCATAAGCCCAAGCTAGGAGAGTAAGATGGCTGAAACATCTAGGAGCAACACCTATCAGCCAGAAGACAGCAGCTTGGGGACCATCTGAACATCCCAGAGATTTAGGGTAGCAACTACTGGGGAGGAGGAAGTTCCTTAGGACCTAGGTGGGGTCCACAGCCTAGGATAATAGGGTTGAGAGGGCAGAAACTTGGAGAGACC